CAGGGGGTTGTTGTGGCCAAAGTGCAGGACCCGGCACTTGGCCTTGTTGAACTTCATCCCATTGGAGTCAGCCCATCTCTCCAGTCTATCCAGATCCCTCTGCAGAGCCCTCCTGCCTTCCAGCAGGTCGACACTCCCTCCCAACTTGGTGTCATCTGCAAATTTGCTGATGATGGACTCAATCCCCTCCTCTAAATCATTGATAAAGATGTTAAACAGGACTGGGCCCAGCACTGATCCCTGGGGAACACCACTGGTGACCGGCTGCCAGCTGGATGCAGCCCCGTTCACCAGCACTCTCTGGGCCCGGCCCTCCAGCCAGTTCCTGACCCAGCACAGAGTGCCCCTGTCCAAGCCCTGGGCTGCAGCTTTTCCAGGAGAATGCTATGGGAGACGGTGTCCAAGGCTTTGCTGAAGTCCAGATAGACCACATCCACAGCCTTCCCCTCATCCATCAGGCAGGTCACCTGATCAAAAAAGGAGATCAGTCAGGTCAGACAGGACCTGCCCTTCCTAAACCTGTGCTGGCTGGCTCTGATCCCTTGTCCATCCTGTAGCTGTTGTGTGATTGCACTCAGGATGATCTGCTCCATAACCTTGCCAGGCACTGAGGTCAGGCTGACAGGTCTGGAGTTTTCCAGGTCCTCCTTGCAGCCCTTTTTGTGGATTGGCATGACATTCACAATTCCAATCATCTGGGACCTCCCCAGTGAGCCAGGACTGTTGGTAAATGATGGAGAGCAGCTTGGTGAGCTCTTCTGCCAGCTCCCTCATCACCCTAGGCTGGATCCCATCTGGTCCCATAGACTTGTGAGGATAACATTGCAAATACAGTTCCAACATCTACCTGCTTTATGGTTACACACCACCACTTACACTTGCCTTCCATTAAAGGAGACAATTGAAAACAAGGAAATTAGAAGGTACTTCTTCAATACCATAGCCATCATCAGAGACTGTCTTCAATGAGCATCCATGTGTAAATTAAAAAGAGGAAACTGGAGGGTGGGGATTTGGATCTGGTTGGGTGGGGTTTTTTGTTTGGGGGATTTTTTTAGTGCAAGTTTTTGTTCAGTCATTTATTAAAAAACAAAGAAACAAACAAACCAACCAAACAGACAAACTATCCTGATTTATGTCCCCAGGAAGAGTCTACTAAGTGAGGAACTAGCTACAAAATTGCTTTTAGCAGATGCTTTGGGATAAACCTGGAAACAGACAGATCTTCCAGTCAAGTTCAAGGGACTTCTGATTTTCTGAACAAACCCAAGTTATACCTCTTTCCTAGGAGAGGAAGAATGAGAGGGATTTAAAGGAGGTGATGTTACAGCTTCCAACACCCATGGGCTGTCGTGTGCTCGTGCCTGCAATAGGCTTGTTGATATTACCAGATCTGATTATGTTCAGTTTCTTTTCTGACTTCACACATGTCCTAGTTGAACTGCCACATTCCTTTAATTCGTGTTACTTGCTGTGGAATGTATTATTCATAGGCCTAAATTTAGCTTACATTGAAAAAAAATTAATTGGAACCAAGTAGATCTATTTTTTTTCATGCTGAAGAGAATTATCAGGTGACTCACACTAGGTAGGTCCCATATAACCAGTGTAAACTAAAAATAACTTTACTGACCTTGATGCAGTTACACCTGCAGGAGTACAGTATGAAGCGAGTCAGTTCTAGTACAAGAAGGCTGCCAGAGCCTAATGAAAATAAACCCTGTAAGGCATTTAAAAATAGATACTTTGTAAGCAAAATGATGCGGAGGATGAAATTTTTTACTCAAATAATATGAAGTTAATAGAGAGTTGAGCCTGCTATTTCCATATCTGCTCTTCTGGGGATGAATAAATCCTTCTTGTGGCCAGAGGAATGACATAGTATACTGACCCAAAATAAATTTAGGACAGATTTTTAAAGGTATTTAAGTAACAATAAGATGTAGCTAGCTACAGCTGTATGGGCACTCAACTCTCAATGAAATAAACAGACATAATAAATTTCTCTCTGTGCTTTGATGCCCATCAACTTCTCCAAGGGTACACATCTGATCTCAGGGTTATGTTTCTACTTCTGCCCTTTAATTCCAGTGTACCCGCAGCTAAATTTTTTTCCTGGTATTTCCCCTTAAGACCCTTTCCAAGTTCGTTAGCTCTTCAAGGTTGTGGCTTTAACTATATAGGGTTTTGGACATCAATTCATGCATATATTTTCAGGCTGGATTTGTGCTTCTTAGTGAAAAAGAGAGCAAAACTATTTAGGGCACCAGGAGACTTGTAAAAGTGAATCTGCTGCAGTGGTTTAAAAAGATGTTGTCACTACATGCCTTGTGTACA